TGGAACAACGCGAAAAACGTCTAAAGGTCACCTCAGCTACGGCGAAAGAGTCGGCTGAATCAGAAATCAGGGTGAACCGTGTAAAAAGTTGGTTACCCGCTGTTAGTGACTTAAAGGTCACCGGACTTGAAGCGAAATTTGAAGCCCAGAATGGAAAGGTCACCGCACTCGATGAAGCGGTGGAAGACAAAGGTGACCTTCGGGAAACGGACAAAGTAACACAAGCGTTGAATGAATGTCCGATAAAGTTGTTGAGATTCCCAAAACAGATGAAAAAGAGGTACAAACCGCTACCACGCTGTAAAGTAATTAAAGATTGGAACGAACTTAGTACGGCGACAGTCCGTATCGTCAATCTGCAAGGTGACGAGGAAGAGGTAGATGACTCAAACCTGCAATTGCGGAACAAACAGCTGAAAGATCCCCATCTGGCAATGATAATAGATGAATTGGAGCACCTACCAGACGCGGAGACAAGATCGAAATTTGAAGTGCACTACCAGTTATGGAACGGCATATTATACCGAGTAAAAGATAAAAATGGGAGACTTGAAAGGTCATATGTAGTACCGTTGTCAATGCGAAGAGCGATAATCCACGCATTGCACGACGAGAAAGCGGCAGGCCATTTGGGATTTGAAAAGACTCTATCAGCAATAAGACTCCGTTACTATTGGGACAGAATGAGTACTGATGTGAAGAATTATATACTTGCCTGCCAAGGATGCCAATTCCGCAAGACACCGAGGAAATGCCCACCCGGTAAATTGCAAGAGATAAAAGTTGGACATCCCTTCTTCCGAGTCTATGCGGACTTGAAAGGACCGTTTTTGCCAACAAAGAAACGCGGATATAAGTACATAGCAGTATTCATCGATCAACTGACCAAGTATGTGATAGCAGTACCGATGAAAACGGCAACAGCAAAAGAGTTCGCAAAGGTATTCGTGAAGCACGTGATATTGGTGCACGGAGCGCCGCACATCCTGCACACGGATCGTGGACGGCACTTCACAGCCGAAGTGTTGACAAAGGTCACCAATGTGTTTAAGATTAAACACACATTCGGAACAGCATATCATCCAGAAGGTCAGGGCCAAGTAGAAAGGCAGATGCAGACGATTGCGGACGGCTTGGCGCAGTACCTGAAAGCGGGAAATGAAAGAAAGTTTAACAAGTACCTTCCATATGTTATATCGGCGATGAACCGAGTCGTACACGCCACAACTGGATATTCAGCATATTATATGCTACACGGCAGAGAAATGACAATGCCGGAAGATGTGGTCACAAAAACGAATATACCCGACGACTATGGGACTCCAGATGAATGGGTAGAGACCATGAAAAGGAATTTGACCTTTGCAGAAGAAGTGGCAAAATGCAACATTAAAGACGCTTACGAAAAGAATGCAGAGATATACAACAAGAGGAAGTCGGAACCGAATTTCAAGGTGGGTGACCTTGTGCTGATACGACTTCCAAAAGATACGAAACAAGGAAAGAAGGAAAACCAATCGGACTTTAAGTCGAAATACGATAAAGTGTGGAAGATTCTCAGTTTCCCGCGAGCAAACAAAGCGGAGGTCATTAAGCAGAACCCGAAGAAAGAAGCAGATTTGAAGGTGGTTTCGATCGACCGATTAAAGCCGTTGCACCCGCCACTACCTGAAATAAAAGATTCGCAGGAAGCACCAGAGCGTACTTCGAACTTTTTCGAACCACCTCCGCTACCTGAAACGGGAAAAACGGATGAATATGCAGAGCGCACTCAAAATGATTTGGAGAAATCTTCCTTCGAACCACCACTGCTACCCGGAATGGAAAAAGCTCAAACGAACGGGTCAAACGGAGATACACCTAAAAAGAATAGAGGAAGAAAGCGAAAAGAAGATAAGGATTTTGAAACAGCAGTCACAATCAAGCTGAACGCAGAAGCTGGAAACTTGGCAGAAAGGTCACCAGCTATCGGAAAAGAAATCGAAGTAGCAGAACGCGCTTCGCATATGCATTTTGAACCCAATCAAAAGCCTTTTTTCGAACCACGCACTGTTACCGATAATGAGAGTGACCTCATACAAAGAAGAAAGGAGGAAATAGAGGCGGTCAAATCAAAAGCTGAACAGTTGGGCCGCGAAATAGCGAAAGCAATCGATGAGAGAAAGGTCAAACCGAAGAAAAAGGGACTAACTCCAACTGAGTTGTTAACCCAGAAAGGTGAAGCCGAAGATGCCGCAGACAAAGAACTCCTTGATCGGATAACTAAAGGACGCAAAGACAAACAAACCACATAAATAGAAATAAGGGGTTGCTTACACTTAAAATAGGAGTTGGGAAGGTGTGAAAGGTCACCACCGTTACACAGCTAATCGATATTGTTTCATTATTACAGAAGGTAAGCACAATTAATGGACAGATTGGAACGACAGAACTCAGATAATTCTGACTCGGAAAGTATTGGAAACCCGTTAAAAGCATCAACTCCTAAAAGAATGGAAGGAGAATACGGTTACGACACCTCATATGGCGAGGGGTCGACGTCGTCAGTAGGAACGGCACAGAACGAGCCAGGAACAGTACAAGGAGGTCCTTATGGAGGCCCAGTGTATTATGGATATCCTGGACAGCCGACAAGTTATCAAGATACGGTTAACTGGGTGCACCACGGTTCGACTGCCGGAACCCAGTACACAGAACAAGCGACGTACAATGCCCCTTATCAGCCCTATCCAGCAGCATACACCCCACCGATGGGGCCATCGCAGGTGATGATGGGACCGGCAACAATGTTGATGCCGCCACCGCAACAGACCACACCGAGCAGATTCATGGGACATAGCGGATTTAGCGGAATGGTATCAACTCCAGTGCAATCTCAAAGGGGATCCCCGATATTGCCACCTTTCCTGTCAACGGGTGGTTTGTCACTGTCGGACATTGGAGCACCTCGTCTGAGATCACCACAGCAATTGGGAGCGCAACGACCCCATCGGAACTCGCCACAAAAAGGAGGGAGGCGAGGAGGAAATCGATATGATTCGCCACGACCGCGAGGCATGTTGCCATCACTGGGCCCCAACTTAGACGAGATCGGACCAGATGGACTACGATTAACGCCCCCAGGAGAACCGTCAGTGCGCGAGTATGCGCCAAAACTTCCCCTGGACCTCAGAGAGGATGACGCGCGTTTGAATGTGATCGTGGCCAATACGGAAAAACTGTTAGAGACGGACAAAGAGGCAATCCAGGACTTTAATAGGATGTGCCGTGACCTCTACAGAATTCATATGAGAGTCGAAGACGAACATGGATGGTACGGAAAGTTGATTAGCCTAGAAGCAGTCATCAAACCATGCCATATTGCATTGAAGGAGAAAACAAAGCTAATTGAAGCAAAGCGCAAAGAATTAGCGATTAAGATCGCATCGATGTGGCAGTATCACCCGGGGGTTAAAGGCAGACAATGGCCTTGGATAATTGAGCAGGTCCTGCGATACCTTAAAGTATTTCCGGAAGAGAAATTGATCCCAACAACCAGCAGCGCGGGACCACCCAGACCGATAGTAGAAAAAGTAGCACCAGTGGATGAAATGTCTGACAGTGACCTTTTGGAAGCGAAGAGAAAAATCGATGCGGAATTGACCGAACGAACACAAAGGTCACGAGCCAGTTCAACCGCAGGATCAGCACGCGGACGCACTAGCTCAGTTACAGAACCGTCGAGTGGAACTACGAAAAGCGGAAAAAGAATAAGGTCACCGACAATCAGCCCACCAGAAGTTGGGAAGAAAGGGCAACAGACCAAAAAGGTCACGACGAGCAAAGCAACACCAGCAAAGACACAGACACCGATTCCAGTGGGTAGACAGAGTGTGCCACCCACTCCGACGAACACCGGACCTGTGGCACTTCGATTCCCGAGGCCCAGAACTTTTACGTGTAAATACACTGGGGCAGACCATAAGGAACGAAAGGTTACCGCGAGGATAGTGGATAAATCCACGAACGAAGAGATCGAGTCGTATAATCCTTTAGCGGACAGAGCAGTCAAAAACGAGAATGGAGAGAAGTCAAAGAGGGAAGTTTATGAGGCGCTACAGTTTATTCCCCCAGAGGAGCGCCACCATCCAAGAGTTCTCGTTCAGATGATGAAACATGTCGTGTCGAAGGTAGCGGCAGAAGAAAATGCATGGATTCGAATCAAGGTGGGCACAAACGACGACCACTTAGTATACACATACACAGTGGAAGGAAGGCTTCTGACAGCCGAAAGAATTCGTCCAAAATCGACAGCAGATCCTGACCCAAAGAAACGAACAATCGACGACTATGAGTCAACTTTGAAATATACCGATGCGACATGTAGAAAAATGACACTAAAATTGGAATATGAGGCTGACCCAACGGAGATCATAACTGCGGTGATCGTCGATCAGATAACGGGAGACCCGATTCCATTTGCACCATGGGACGTATCAGATGAAAGCGCTCATAACGCTGACATTAAAGCTCGCGACGAATTGTGGAACCTGATACCGGAAAGCGACCGCCAAGATGCTAACGCTCACAAGAATATGATGATCAGTATGATGCGCCATCGTGCAGAGAAGGATGGAGCTCATCTCCGGCTGACAAAAACGATGAGTGACGGATCATATAAAACGATATTTTACGATGAGAAACTTACACCATTGTGGGAGGTAACGACGCAAACACCGAGCGCACCGATAGCCCATTCGGAAAGAAATCCGGCACAAGAAGGTGGAGCCGGAGAGATGGCAGAGGCCTCCGTAGCCGAAGTGGCAGAAGCGGAGAGTACCCGGCGACCATCAAAAAAAGACGACTCCGAAGAATAGAAAGATGACGGTGATTCGGAAGAGGAATCGACCGATGAAGAAGAAGACGACGAAGCGGCAGAAAAAGACGATGTCCGTTCAAAAGTCGTCGTTAAACCCTCTAAAACTCGTCGTCCAAGAGTTGCACCCAAACTGGAAGAAGCCATGAATCGCGATAAGGTTAAGAAAGGCGACTTCCTAAAGAAACGGAGGGAAGAAGAAGATAAAAAGAAAAAGAGCAATGACGAAAGCGAGAGCAAAGATACTGAGAGGAAGAAAGGCGAGAAGAAGAAAAAGGACAAACCGTCTTCTCCCGATGTTGAAATTCTGACCGAGTCAGTCGGAGAAAGGTCATCGTCACCCACAACGTCAAAGAAATTCGTGATCGAATCGGCCACATCGAGGTCAAAGTCAAAGGTCACTGAGCCTGAACCACTACCATCCAAGGGAAAGGTCATAGCTGTCAAACAAGTCGTCCCGGTCGTCATCTCGGCATCCACTCCCAAAGAACGTAGGGAAAAAGGAAAGCGCGAGAAAGCAAAACGAGAGACGTCCCGCGAATTGGAAGCGTCAGAAGTGAGTCTACCGAGCACTTCAACGGTTAGCGCCAGGTCACAACCGGAACCGAAAACGGCCCGCTCCAGAAGCCTAGCGGAGGCTTTGGACAAAGCGAAAAAAGCAAAGAGCGAACCGGCAAAATCGAAAAAGAAGGAGAAAGAGGCCATAAAAATAGATGCACTGGCGATGGCCACCTACACCGCACCTGACGGCGAAAGCGAGCTCGATTTCTCGGGAGATGAACTGGAATTCGATGAACCGGATAATGACAACTTGTCTACGGTAGATGAAATCGTTGCAGCGTTCGACGGCGCTGAGAAAAATTTTACGCGGACCAGGACGGCACCGGTTACAGGGAAATTTAGAACGGGCCTAAATAACTATTTGAAAGGGATACGCCGTAGTTTCACCAAACAGAAATTCGATGTGGTACTGGAGTATGCGCGGAACGCGGGAAAACTCATCCAGAGACATCCGAACTTCGCATATAGGGCTAAGCTCTTCCGACCAGCGAGTTCAGACAAGGCGCTGACAACTCCAAATGAAGACACCCAGATGCGCGTGGAAAGGGCAATTGCGGGGATGACGAGCCCGTTGGGATCAACGAGTCACCGCATTAGCCAATACATTAATGCTGTTTGGAATGACGGGAAAGGAATGATAAGGGAAGTCGACACGGCCACCGAGCGTGTATTGCCGCGGATGATCCGACAGAACATCCTTTCGACAACGAACGCACACAAAGGATTACCGATCCGATATACGCGGGTTGGTCTGATACCACCAGAAAGGCAGACCTACTGTTACATGTCCGACAGCCAGGACATGGAAAAAGTCGTCGCTCCATTGAGTGGAGACCCGTCGACTCCTATACTGAACCAAATTGCACAGAAGACGGCTGAAGAAGAAGCGGCTCGGAAAAAGGCTCAGACTTCGCGAACGTCGAAAAGGAGGGGGCCAATGGATGAAGAATCGGAAGAGAGTGGTGATGACGATACGACGCAGACGCCTCTGGAACCGGCGACAGAAAAGGATGCCGAATTAAAAGGTCAAGACACATCTGCGAACGCGGCGAAAGGTCATGAGACTCTGCAAGAAGGGGCAAAAGAAAAGGTCATGCTCCCAATGGAGAAAGCGGCGGCGGAAGCAGAAGCAGCAGCAGCATCCGCACGTCAAGTGTTTCAAAGGTCATTGTTTACACCATTAAAGGAAGTATTTGAGAAGGAGCGATCGAAGTCGGCCGGCGATGTGGGAGGCCAAGAGACTTTGTTGCAAGACGAGAAGAAGACATCAGAGCCAAAATCGGCGGGGTCATCATCAGGATCATTGGCAAAGCTGAGGATCGACGAGGCAGCGATAACTGACCCAACAGACTCGGCAGAATCCCCCCAGAAGACGGGAACCAAGGAGGCGACAGATTACTCGCTCGGAGCACCGTTAGACGTAACTAACCGGACATGGAACGAAGTCCAAGCTGCGCTCCAGATTGTTCGAGAAAAAGAAATGCTTGGTACCGATCTGAAAAGACAAGTCGCAATAAACTCGAACGGAAGATCGTCACTAAATATGACCGAACGAGTCCTGAAACGAGCATATAAGGAAGGAAAGTTGGGATGCAAATACAACAAGGATAACAAAGTCATCTATTACCTCCCGAAACAGGGCACGGAACGTACGCCCAGACTGAAAATGGAATTGGAGGCTTGGAAGATAGCCATTACAGATGTGGCTTTGGACGCCATTGGCGGCACCAACGGAGCGTCATGGGGTGACCTCTCAAATTTCATGGCTGTCCATTATGAGTTGGGAGAATTGAACATGGAAAACGATAAAGAATGGATCAAGAATGCCGTGGAAGCATTGATTGCAGATGACGGGCTCCATATTAAACAGGACGGCCGAGTTGACTTTAAGCCATATCAACCGCCGGCGAAAGAGTCAGAATAAATGGGATGTGTGTAATATGCAGCGAGTAATGAACCCTGCATATTACAGAAAAAGCATAAAATAGTTGAAAACGAAAGAGAAAAGTTTAACGGACAAATAAAAGCTGAAAGTTCAGCTCGAGAATAGCGATGATAAGACTAACAGAAAAGGTCACAGTAGTCAGAAAGTGCTGATAACGTGAGAAAGGTCACCACGTTACGGCGATAGAGAGAGAGACAGGAGCTAGGAAAGTCTCAGCTCAGTAACGGAATAGGCGCAAAAATGATAGAAAGCCTTGATAATGGATAGGAATGGAATGGAAAGGATTAACGTGGAAAGTTTAACATGATGGATTGTTTTCTGATTACAGATTGTAAACGGACAAAATGGCACAAAAAGGTCAAGCCTCTTCTAAAAGCTCGGCATCGGAGATAGACAGATCTACGGGCTATAACCCAAAGTGTCCGGACTGTCTACGTAATAACAGAAAAGTCGATAAGAAGTTCCCGTGCTACACATGCGTACGCTAGCCTTCCTGGAACGTATCGAAAACTCTGCGAATAACACTCCGCTGTGGAGTTCGACCAACTACAAAATGTTGATTACCAAGACGATTCTGCAGACCAGAGCGATTCGCCTGCAACGAATAATCATCAAGAATGCCGCTGAACATCACTGGGGTCCGAAATTTTCCAGCATAGGCGTGCGCACCATTCATCAGGCTGTGGAACCTGCAGAAGACTGGCTGGCAGTGCTGTTGAAAGTGTGCGATGAATTTGTGCTTATGAACTACACTGTTCCCGTCTGTCCCGTTATCAATCCGCAACAGGTCCAACGGTTACACGATGGAGATACCTTCTGGCCGGGAAGTATGGCCCGTGACAGGGTCCGACCACAGACGGTGCTTGTCCCGTTAATGCGCTTCCGTAGCACGGATTCGCTCATGGAGCAATGCCGATACTACTGTGAGGCGATGGCTCCCTTGCGTCCACCTTCGTGACGCTAGTGGTGCGCTTCGTCACACCACTCCGTGGGGAATTGCCGTCTGTGACGCAGCGCTTCTCTGATTGGTCGGCTACTGCCGTTCATTGTGTTCACTGCTGCGCAGTGTATTAGAGTTGTCGAGAGCAGATGGAATTTGGCTCTCTGAGTGTGATGAACGTCAGTGTGTTTTGGTCGACGTTAGAAGTCGATATTAAAAGTGTTCTATGCTATTTGGATGCCGTGCGTTGTGCATTTATCCAGATTCACGTAGCATTTCACACTGCACGGAGTCCTGTCAGTCTGGGCTTCCGTCCTGGACTCTTATCCAGTCCACGGTTATATGGTAGCAGAGCCCGTAATCTGCGGTGCTCGAGTAATCTGTTTGGCGAACGGCCACGATAATCTGTTTGGCGAACGGCCACATTGATCTGGATCAACTGATCTCATTTCACCAGTAAGGCACTGGTTTCCTCATCTGAAGCAAGGCGCACATCATCGATCGGATTGCCAACATCGACTGCACTGACTAGAGAGTCTCCTGTAGGAGAACTCGTCGTGCACATCATCTCAGACGGCAGACGGCTGCGGTACAAAGCTCTCCTGTCGGAGAACTTGTGCTGTTTCCTCTGCTAGGCAGCGGGCACCTCTTGTTGGGGTCAAGGCTGTCGGGCACAAGAGCCGAGAAGCCACGAGTTGGCAGCACCGAATGAGGTGCCAAGAGTCAGTTTAACGCGCTCCATCAAATTGGTTGTAGAGCGACCTGCTGGTAAGCTTGACAAGCCCAGCAGAAGGCAGACTAGGTCGGACAGGAAGGCGCCAAAACCGTGCGGAATACGGCTGCGCGGGATCGGAGTTGGAGAAGATCATCTGGATCATCTCCTTCATCTGGATCATCATTTTGCGGGATCGGAACGGTAGACAGGTAAAAAACGTTATTAATTATTGGATTGGTTGAAGCGTAGAAAGCGCAATTTTCATTGGTCTGTACTGAGCTGAGCTAGACGTAGGCGTAGCTTTTGCACACGGCGCGCAAGTCTGGCCGTCGACCTGTGACGTCAGGCAGGTCAGAAAATTTTAACGGGCATACGGGATTGGTCAGTTAAACGAACTCTGATTGGTCAAAATCTTAACGGTAAAATTCGATCTAAAACGATCTTCTGACGATCTCTACAGCAGTTAAATACAACAATTTTCACAGTAAACGATCTAAAACAGTCAAAGGAAGCTGTTTCTAATCGATTTGAGTTGAGCGGAAAAGTGACCATCTCGAGATCGACCAGATCGAGATCGTCAGCGATCTCTGCCGACGAGCTGAGATCATCTAAAACGATCTTATAACGATTTAAATCGAACTAATTTTATCGAAAACGATCTAAAATCAGCTAAAGGGAGCTGTTTTTAACTGAATTGAGTTGAGTGAAAAAGTGACCATCTCGAAGATAGATCAGATCGAGATCACCAGTGATCTCTGACATCAGATCGAGATCATCAGCGATCTCCGAAATTCGATAAATCGATCTCCTAACGATCTCCCATCAGTTAAAACGATCTTCTTTCATCGAAAACGATCTAAAACTAAACAAAGGAAGTTGGTTTTAATCGTAAATCAATCATCTCGAGATCATCAGTGATCTTTGAGATCAGATCGGATCAGATAGTGATCTTTACAAACGAGCTGAGATCATCTAATTTCATTGAATACGAACCTTAAACGATCTTTTTAGCGGTTTTATCGATATAAGCAGTTGAACGAGATCATTTCTGAGGCAAACCTCTCGATCTTTTTATCAAAAAAGTGACCTTTGAAATCGAACTTGATCGAAGTAGATCAGTTAAAAGGCGATCTCAGGGACTTTAAATCGATCTCATTATAACGTGTGTGTGTGAGCAAAATCAACAGGCGCGTCGCAGTTATCCGATCAACATGGAAAAGAATATCATCGAACCGACATCTAACAGTAGCCAGGGAAGCCGAAGCTCCCAAGGCTCACAGCAAAGCGCACCTAATCCCTATGAGAGGGATTTCAATTCGTACACACGTCCTGTCGGACATGAACGAAATACCCGAGCACCGAAAGTCCCCGTGAAGAAAGATTCACGTGGGTCCGATGCAACGTATCAGAAGGCACTCGAAGCAGTGTCCGCTCAGGAGAGCTCTAGCGACGATCTTAAACGATCTTCCGCGCCTGCGGCGGGAAGTAGCGAGGTGAACCAGCAGGTCACCAAAGAAGGAACGAGCTCGAAGGGAGCTGCGGAGATGGATCTGACATCATCAAAAGATGTAACCGCCCAGGATAAGAAGGAGAACCCGGCTGAAACCGATCTGAACGAGCATTCAGAGATCGCATCTGACGATCTCAACGAACTCAAATTAGATGATCTCACACTGGGAGATGAAACTGGAACAGAGGATCTCTTCGTGAGTCCAATGGCATTTGAGGAGATGTCCAATCGAGGAAACGAAGAATCGTACTTCACCGAAGATGAAGTAACACTTAACATGTCGTTCAGAACCGCGATGAAGGAAGCAGATCAAGTTCAGGGAATGACACCTTTCGAGGACATCCCCGAACGTCTGATTGAAAGGAATCAGACAGGAAAGATCGTCAATGTACGATCTCCATCTCCGAATAGTCCCACTTCCAATCTGAGAAGACGTGTCAAAGAGTTGGAAATCTCGTTGGAGGAAAAGGAAGGCCAAGCCCTCCAGAAGAAACAGGAATATCAGAATCGCTTAGGATCTCTTGAAACTCGTATCTACGAGTTGGAGCAACAACAAGGCGTACTGGAAAACATGGCAACAGAATGGAAAGTCAGATACGAACGCCAAAAAGAGATCGCGGAAAATAACTTGAAAATTGCCGACGACAAGGAAATGGAAGGATATATGGCAGTCAATGATCTCAACGAGAGTTTGTCAGAAGAATCTGCCGAACGGTCACGTCACACAGCCGAATTGAAAGATCAGTGTGACGAACTGCGAAAGAAGGCAGACGAAGCCGAAGAGAAACGTGATGAATATGCGACCAAATTGGCCGAAGCGACCAAACGGTTATCAACAGTGAATAAGGATATGTTCAAGCTCAGGAATGACTTGAAGCTAAGAGACGAGAACATCGAAACGCTCCAAAAGGAATCGGCAGATCATCAGAAACGAGCTGATGATGCTGTCAAAGTAGCACATGATCTGCGAGATCTTTTGGCTACCGAAGGTGAACGACTTAAAGATGAGATCAAGCAGGTCACTGAGGAGAACGCGCAGCTCAAAGAAGCTGGTAAAAAAGCGGCCGAAGGTGGCCAAAGATGGGAAGATGAAGCACGACGATTGGATACGAAGGTGACCAAAGTCGAGCTGGAGAACAGTACGCATCAGAAAAAGATCCGTGAGTTGACAGATGAGAACATAAAGCTCAACACGGAACTGATCGACATGACACAAACGGCGATGTCCCGAGAAGACGAAGTTACCCAATCGAGGAATCAACTGAAATCAGCAGCTGATGCATACGTGCAACTAGAGCAACAAATGAACCAGCTGATCGAACAGATCCAACAGAGGAAAACGGACGAAGAAGAGTTGCACGAGGAAACGATTCAGCGGCAAAATTTTGCCCACATGATGAAACTGGAACGAGATCAGCTGAAATCGGAAAACGAGCAGCTCAGCCTCAGAATCAGACGTCTCGAAGATGAGAACAGAGGCCTACAAGTAACAAATAAGCACAGGGAGGAATTACTCCTGCAAAGCGGAAGTGCAAAGAGAAATACCACCGATACGCCCCCACCCAGCTACAGTAAGGCACAAGAAGCGGGCGGGAGCTTCCACTTCGAGATGCCACTGCGAACAGGCGGCGGCAATGGAGGCTTCAAAACGGAAAAAGATGGGGAAACCAGCGATAATCGCCCACCGTCAGGTAGTTGTCAACCTGACATGAACTTTGGCGATCCATCACAGTTTGAACGTCCCAACGAAACAGCAGTTAAAGACGCTGCAAACCGAGACGTACGATCTCCCCGACACGAACATGACGGCAGAT